CCTGAATGGCCTGGCCGCTGTGGCTTGAGTGTTGTTCCATGAACCAAGGGGTCTCAGGTTCAATTCCGGAGGCTTCATCCCCAGTAGGAAGCGTGCAGGAGGCAGCCACTGATGAATTTCTCCCATTTTTTCCCCCTCTATTCCCTGCCCCTTCCTCCATTTCTAAAAAGAAGAAAAAAAAAAAAAAAAAAGAAGAAGAAGAAAAAAAAGTCAAGAAAAACACATTTTTAAAAATTAGCCTAAATGAGTGTAAAACAGAGTGAAATCAGTAAAGTAAACCCCACCACCTGCCTAAGTGCCCGAAGCCAATTCCAGCATCACAGCTGGCCTGAAGCTGGAGTGGCTGAAGGGCATTGCCCCAAACCTGAAAAGGATGCATTAAACTGATTGTTTGCTACCAGACAGCTCAGGGCATCTTAACCTACATATTACTGCCCCCTAGTGGCTAAACACCTGAACAGCCACAGGCTAATTCTGATCTGACAATGAATGGATTGTGTATAGGAAACCTGACCCTTTGAAGTGTATATCTCCACTTCGCCTCAGACAATTTGTGTTAAGAAAAAGCATGGGGTCCTGAGAGGAGATCATAGTTTCTTTAGCTAGGCTCCTCTCACCCCCAAATGCCTTTCAAAATTATGCTTCGTCTCTGGATTAAGTTACACACAGCCCTTCTCCAGATTGCTTAACCCTTCCTAACCCTGAAACAAGAACCCCGGCAGCCAAGCAAGTCGTCTCCATACTAACTGGCTGCCGCTAGCACGATTCCTTGACCTCACCGCTTCTGCTGCTCGCCTCAGTCCTGTAGGGTCCTGTGGATGCCCAGGATGACCACACTCGTTCCGATGATGCCTGCTGCCATGCCAACTGGTATGCCCACTGCTGCACCTGCTGCCATGCCAACTGGTATGCCTGCTGCCACGCCAGCTTGTAGGCCGACTGCCATGCCAAGTATAATCAGGCCGACTATCCTCAAGGCGGCAAGGAGTGCTTCAGTGACCTGCAGCACAAGAGACGGGCGTCACACTCCACGTCAGGGGCCTGGCCACAGACACACCCACCAAGAATCTTCACTCAGGAGAGACCTGGGTCCCCTCCAACGGAACCACAGAAGGAACGAGTGTTTGCAGGGCAACAGGCCACCAGGAGGGCGGGGAAGAGGCGGGGAGAGAACGGGTGGGAGAAGGAGCTGTGGGTGTGAGGGAGACAGCGGCCCTGTAGGTGCTGAAAGGCTCAGAAAGCCGCAGGGGGTGCCGTGGGAAGGACACAGGCAGTG